ATCATGAATAGAAAAGCACACTTGTAACTAAACCCATGAACTGAGTTAAACACAGATGAACACACACACACACTCGCACCCGAGAGAATAGTGACTATGGTCTTTGACACTTAGTGCTGCTCTTGCTTGTAGCGGTCTTGAGGGGAGGACCTGAGAACAAGGTCCTTTTCTTGCTGAAAGAAGCCTACACTTAGTTGTCATTCTTCTCATTGCCTGTACTGACAGGAAACCTGCTTTGGCTTTTCCTGCCTTTGAGGTCCACCCAAGAGAATCTCCCGGCTTTGCTTTCACTCCTATTGGCCTCCTCTTTTGGGTTGATGAACGCCTCCCTGCCACCATGAACCAGTCTGGCTAATTCTAATGCTGGATGCCTTGGAAAACTAATCCCACCCTGGAATTTACAGAGATGAAACTATTTATTGATGTTTTAAAACTTTAATTGCTCTGCCTGGACTTTTAGAGAAACAGCCAGACAAGATAAAAAGGCTGCCTTAAGAAAATAATATTGACATTGCACCTCTTTTTATAAACAAGTAAATCCTGCACCTTTCTACAAAATGATGAAGTAAATTTCCCTTACTATGAAACTAAGGAAATTTAATATGTTCCAGTCCCTCATCTTTTCCCAAACTGCTAGATAGATAAAGCCAAAAGAACTGAATACATCATTCAGTAAAAAACAAAATTAAGTATTTTTTCTAGGCTTCTATCCTTAGTAGGGGAAGGGGAATTATGTTACCCCTAAAGGGTGGAGTTGTGAATACCTACTGAAATGTTAGCATTTCTTTGAAGACTCAAGATTTTTCTTCTAAATCTTCTAAATTCTAATTTATCTTCAAACCGTGTGTGTGCCATCCTACAACATTTTCCTGGGGTTTTCATGTAAAACTAAGACTTTAAATCACTGATCTCTTACCTGTCCAATCTGAGACTCTCAGCCCTGCCTATAAATGCAAACCCACAGATGTGGCTTGGAGTCTATATTTTTTCAAAGCTCACAGATGATTCTCTCTACCAGTCAGACTACATCATAGAAATGAATTGTCCAAATGCACTGGGAGTGCCGTGGTAGGTACAGGAAAAGATGAGGTTTCCAAAAGATGCTGTGTGTGATTTCTATGGTGGCAACAAAAGTAGACACTATTTGCCAGGGGTTGGGCTGGCAGGGTCGCTCATTTCACATAGAATGTTCCAGTACATTATGTTAGAATCACCTCTAACAATCTTAACCATGTACTCACCAGCCCCATTAAACTTGTGTCCTTGGCATGTACTCATTGTAGCAGTTCACTGACTTTCCAAGTATCCTGAAGGGCAAACCTAAGTTTCATTTGCACCAGCAATAGAAACCTCCAAATGCCACATTAAATTTTCTCTGGTCTATGTATTATTAATATTTTATAAAATACCGCCAATACTACAAGCTGCCCAGGGAGCCATCAGTAATGGCTTTGTAACAACAGGGTCACACCTGAATTCTGAGGGGGCATCTGTGGTGTGTCCCCTGCCCCACCTCTGGGTCTTAAAGTTCATGGTTTTCCATGACTGCTGTTGAGTCCTGATCTCTGTATAGTAAACTTTCATATATTTAACACACTGACTTACCTTGAGGTTTTTCTAATTCTTTCACTCTTGGGAATCAGATTTCATCCTCGGAGACTAACCCATGAATAAATTTCTCTACTTTCTCACTGATAATAAGGTGTCATCTTTCCCACTTCACCTACCAGTTCATTTTGACATGTTCCTCTTTTAGCTTCAGGGAGATTTCTGCCATCACATTTGGCATTTTGCAACACCTGTTCCTGCCACAGGCTATTGCTCTTCTCAACTTTCTCCAGGATTTGAATTGCTTTGCTTAGTCAAATCTCATTATTTGTTCTGTAATTGCCTTGGGTCACCATTCATTATCAGAGAAGCATGGAAAGCTTTCCCAACAATGCTGGTGAGCACATGATGAGCATATCCTTCTATCTGGCTTTAAAGAAGTCATATCCATGTTGCTTCCTTACTCCTCTGTTTGACTCACAGATTCAAAGTAAGCAATTCCAGAGATCACCTGTGAAACCAGGTCTGTACAGGTTTCTGAACAGACAGATCTCAACCTGAAAGCCTTCCCACTATTGGACAACAGAACATGCAAATTAACTGAGCAGAAATGAAACTATTGCTAAAGGACAATTAAGAGAAATGAGGTCATGACAGCAACTGGCCACACTGGTCATTGGAAACACAACCGTCCAGCCGTAGCTTAGTGTCTGACTCAGAGATGGTGATGAGAAATTCCAGGTTCAGAAGCAAGAAAAGGAAATGGGGCAGTTGGAGATATTTTTGTAATTGATATTTTGATGTGCTTTGAGTTTGGACATTTTTGACTCTCTAAATAATTTAACGTCTGGGTTGGAATTAATGGTAAAATGGCATCAAGAATATTTCCGCTTATGAGCTGAAATTTAAAACTCAGTTAACACAACTGAAAATTAAAATAAAATGATAAAAATGATGGATCCTCAAAAAGAATTATCAAACTTATGTACAATGTTACTGTGGGTAACATTACGGTCATGTGGTTAGTTATTCATTTTCTTCTCAAATAATAAAGCTGCATGAAAAGAAGGCAAACTCTGTGTCCATATACATTGCCATTGGCAGATATTCCACATATGGGCAAGAGGAAATACAGATAATCACCCATAACTGCTGTCTCAAGTAACCAGAAATTCTCTAATATGTATGAAATTCTTTGTGGTGAGCTCCATTTGGGGGATAATGTAATGAGCTAGAGGGCCTCCCTGGTGGTGCAAGGGGTTAAGTCTCAACACTATGAAGTCAATCAGCATGAGTTCAATCCCAGCCACATGGTGCAGCAGACCTCTCCTGTCTCCCCGCTGCTCCCCACAGCAGTGTATTTCTGTAGCTCTGCCTGTTCTGCTCCCCACTCTGTCTCTGGTGAATCCTCTCACCCCTCACATCTCTAGCCTGCACCCCAGATCTTGTATGCATAATAAGTGAAATAAATCTTTTTTTTTAAAGTAGTGATCTGCAGCTAACATTCAGAAGACAAAAGGCCTTTTAATGTATTTTTTCCTAAGACACTCCTTTCTTAGTAATGCGAGTACAGGGTTTGGGGAAGAGTACTCACTGCAGTGATTCCAGAGCCCTGAGTGCAAAGGTACCTGTTCACTGATTTATGTGAAATTTTACATATCAAAATTAAGTTTGCCAGCAGGATGTCTGATCCTCTAGCTGTGTTAGAAGTTGTACATCTCACATTCTGATTGGTTATTAATAAAATGGTAACGTGAAACCAGCCCCATCCTCACTGGTGTTAGAACACAGCTGCTTTCAAATTTGGAAGCTTTCACTGTTCTTCCTTCTTTATCCATTGTCTTCCACCTACACGATATCTTTTTCCATCTTCATATCCATTCATGGAACAATCTAGACATATTCTACAGCCTACATTCACTTAAAAAAAAAAAAAGGAAACTACCCACAGGTTTTCCTCCACACATGTGCTTCTTTCCTCACCCACACAGTCTCTGCCCTTACTCACTGCTTCCCTCAGCTTCCTTACCCTGTGCTTGTACTAATTTACTGCTTTTCTCATTGATTTTTAATTTTCTAGCCACTTCTCTTTTGTTGCATTTAGCAACTTGCTTTTAGTCCTTATTCTTATTCTCTATCAATTTTCCATAAAGTTATATCTATGTAAATATATTATCAACCTTGCCTTCAGTAACCAAGTACTAAGCACTCTGTGCTAGGATGCTAGGTAGGTGCTGGTGTTGAGATGAATCTCCTCCACCCTTTCCCAGACAGCCTGAAGCCCTCAAAATGTGATAGGGATAATGGACACAAAATAGCCATGTGTGCCAGAAGGTTAGAGCTGGCCAGTTGGGCTACACTAACTCCTAGTCCTTCCACTGCCAGCAACTAGATCTATTGGATAAAAGGTGACATTTTAGAACACATACTTGGGCTCAAGGAGAAAAAAAATACATCTGCAAATGTCAAAATGTAAGTGAGAACTAGAGGAAGAGAAAAAATAAGTGGGCAGAATGGTGGCATGAACCAGGGCTGTTTCCAGTAGCCAAGCATGGTTTGGAGGTTGTGTGTGTGTGTAGCAATGTGGCTTCTGCCCAGGAATGCATGGGTGTTTGTGTGTGTGTGTGTGTGTGTGTGTGTGGTTTCCTTAAGAATTAACACAAAACAAAAAGGCAAAAGCAAAACTCCATCATCCTTACACCCCCTTCACTGTTTCTCCCACCTCCCACCCTCTTTGCCTGTGGGTATCTGAGTTTGGTCATCCATGTCTACTAACTTGTTTTGCTCTGTCAGTTGATCTGCTTTGTTTTTTTTTTTTATATTACTCACATATGTTAAGTCATCTAATATTTCTCTGTCTTTTTCTGGATAACTTTGCTTAGTAAATCCCCTCAAGTTCCCTCACTGTTGCTGCAAGTGGCAAGATCCTGTCTTTCCTTACAGCTGAGTAGTATTCTGTTGCATTTATAATCGAAATCTTCTTAATCCAATTCTCTATCAGTAGGCATTTAAGAGCTTGGGCTTTAAAGCCACAAAAGACAGAAGAGAGAAGTGAAAATAGACTGGTGGTGTCATGCATTCTGCCACCCTGAGGAAGATGTCTAGATGTTCCTGTGAGTTTGCTAAACTGACTTCCCCACAGAGTTAGGTTTTCAGTCTGGCTTGTCTTGAATACTAGTCTTAAAAGAATGTACAATATTGAGGAAGTAGATAATAGAGAACAGAGATAAAATATGCATATTTTACATATTATACATAAACATATTTATATATGTATATACTTCATATACTTATATAATTATATTCATATTCATAAACTATATCTAACTAATATTAATAGACATATATATTGTATATATAATTATATTACTTAACTTTAGACACAGAGGGTTTTTCTCATGAGAATTCCAGAAACATCCTGATTAATTAAAAGGCAGCTATAGTTGATAAACTTACCCTGGTTTTGTGTCATTTACTACACAGTGATAAGTAAATGTTCCAAACATCTGAACTCCCAGAATTCCATAAAGAAGTAGAAAGAACAGTAGGAAAATTGAAACACTCCATATTTGTTCTCCTGATCGCCTGGGGGAAAAGGTAGGTTAAATGGGTAAAACTTTGCCAAAGTTTCACAAACATTCCCCCTTTACTTATGTAAGAACAGTGCTTACTTTAAAATATTTGTAATCCTGGTCCTTGGTAATTCAAATCGGAAATAGATCCGGAAGGCTCGGATCATGATGAGTGGCCGTGGGATCCGCAACATGCCCCAGGGGGACATCTGGTCAACTATGTCCGCAATTTCAAACACCTGAAAATTCAGAGGCAAATAAATACCTGGAGCTTTCCCTTTAGCTCATAGTCACAGCATCAGGATGTGCCAATAGCAATCTTGAATCTGCATTATTTTCCACCTATATCAATTTCCTTTTGAGTACATTTTGAAGCTATCTTAAAAGAAAGCAATACATAGCCATTCATCTTGTTCATTTGCATATAATTTATCAAGGCATGGCTTTTATTACAAAAACAAGCACCAGCTTAGGCTAGAAAATATGTATGCTCAGTCTTCCTCATTTACAGTGTTCTCCAGTGGAATATTTTGCATATCTACCATAAAATAATGGAGAAAGTGTTCAAAATATTATGAAAAAGATTTGTATCATTTACTAACAGGAAAATTGATAGAGAAAATGTCTGTCAATCACATATTAGTTATTAATAAAAAAGAAGACATGAACATGCAGGATGGAATTGGCTCATTGGAGAAATGAAACTTATGAAATTTATGATGAGCTTTTAGATGGACAATGGATTATTTTGTTGTGAAATTTTTAATGACTATAGTAACTTAGCTGAATTAAATGCAAAATCAACCCTGAACGAATGCATGGGGAAATTTTGCTGTTTTCCAATAAAATCTCCACTTTTAAACCCTTTGATGTATGTCCCCACTATCATAGTAAGACATTTAAAATTGCAATACAGTAAATTAACCAATATATCTCTCAATATATCTATACTAAGCTGATTTGAGAGAAGATAGAATCACAATAAAAGACTCGAATTTTAATTTTGAAACTCATTTTTTATTCTACAAATGAAAAATCTCACTGTAGGGTAAAGAAAATATCAGGCTTTTCTGCCCTTCCGCCATCAGGATAGATGATGGATCCTTGTCCTGAATGCATGCCTGATGGTGGGCACCTGGAATAGGGTGTGGGCATAGGTAGATGGGATTCAGCTGAGCTAAGACTGTACTTTTTAAGGGTGGCGTCACGGGGGGACGCCAGCAGCACCAGTAGCAGCAGTAGAAGCCGAAGCAGAAGCCGAGATCACCAGAGAGCCCAGATAGAGTGAAGACTTGCTGGGGGCTGGGAGGCCTGCCAGCCTCCCAGCCCCCCAGCCAGCACCCCTGCCTGCCATATACCCGCTGAACCCCAATAAAAGACCTGCAAAACCACTGAGGACTCTGACTCCTCCTTTACCCGATCTGCATGGGATCAGAAAACCTGCCTTGTGCCCTGTCCTGCCCCTTACAATTGGCGTATGTCGGCAAGATCCATGCAGACGGGTATTGGAGCCCTCCGAAGACCTGGAGGGACTAAGGAGAACAGACTTTGCCTGTGACGACGCTGGAGGCACCATGGCGGTATAGAAGATGGATACGTCCACGAGCTACAGGATGAGACCTGGCGTGAAGGAGACGCCCGAAAGGACCAGCCAACGACACCGGATAGGACCAGCCAACGACACCGGATAGGACCAGCCAACGACACCGGAAAGGACCAGCCAATGACCCCTGAGGCAGCAGGCCATTGCTGAAGCAGGGAGAGGCCAATGGACTGATAGACTGATGAACTGATGATTTTGGACTGACAATCCCGCCAGAAGGCGGAGGACCTTAGCAGGTTATGTTTATTTTTGAGAATCTGGGGGTGGCCAGTGGGCCTAGATGGCCAAAAGCAGCCTGTGTATGCCCAGTGGCCAGGTGGAGGAGAAAAGCCAACTAAGGTGGCAAAAGCTGGTACTGATGCTAAGTTGAGAAGCCCTAAAGCGGCTGTTAAGCAGCCTGGGTATGCTGAAGCCCTGTGAGTCTCGTAAAATCACCTATGGGTGATGCCCTGCTCATTCTTGAGTGAGGGTGAGGAGCTGAGGAGCCCGTCCTTGGGGGATGGGTGGGGAATGTGGCTTGGGGTGGAGCCCAAGCCAAATGCAAAGTTTGGATCCCCAACCCATGTGCTTGTGCAGTGGGTTGGCTTGAGAGCAGGGGTCTGTGAGTCGCATGGGTGGCCATGAAGGCCGAGTGTTGGAGCGACTGCAGACAGAAACCCTGAGGGTTGGCGATTACCCCCAACAGAATAAAATTGCCAATCCCAGAGCTAGTGCATCCTGGGGGTGGATGCTGTGTGTGACTTGTAGCTGAGACTACAGCCAGAGAAGGCCAGGAAGCCTGACGGCTCCTGTGTGTTATAGCAGATGCCGTGTGTGATTTCCCCTCCCTCGTATGAGCAGTGCCTTCGGCAGCAGATTTGGTGGCTCATCTGCTGGTACCAATAATTGTCTTTTGCACTTGGTTGGTGCCCTGCCTGGACTTGTGTTCTGTTGTATTTTGTTATGTTGTATTTTGTTATTTGATGTATTTGCTTTTGTGGGCCATGGCTGCATTGTTTGTTTGCTTAGAAAATTGTGTATATATGTATAGACTGTATGGCAGAAAACCCTGAGGGGGTGGACTGTAGGGTAAAGAAAATATCAGGCTTTTCTGCCCTTCCGCCATCAGGATAGATGATGGATCCTTGTCCTGAATGCATGCCTGATGGTGGGCACCTGGAATAGGGTGTGGGCATAGGTAGATGGGATTCAGCTGAGCTAAGACTGTACTTTTTAAGGGTGGCGTCACGGGGGGACGCCAGCAGCACCAGTAGCAGCAGTAGAAGCCGAAGCAGAAGCCGAGATCACCAGAGAGCCCAGATAGAGTGAAGACTTGCTGGGGGCTGGGAGGCCTGCCAGCCTCCCAGCCCCCCAGCCAGCACCCCTGCCTGCCATATACCCGCTGAACCCCAATAAAAGACCTGCAAAACCACTGAGGACTCTGACTCCTCCTTTACCCGATCTGCATGGGATCAGAAAACCTGCCTTGTGCCCTGTCCTGCCCCTTACACTCACCCATGTTCTTTCCTTTATGTCAATGAATATATTTTGTATCTGCCTAATAAGAAATAATTCTCTATAGTACTAAGCTTTCATGTCTGATTCACAAAAAACCACAAATATGACTGACAATAATCAAAATATTACAATTAGGCTATTATATCAATAATTCAAAAAAATTTAAAATAACTTAATGTTATAGGAAATTATACTTTTACATTTGATATATAGATATTTGAATTATTTCTATTCGATTAAAAATTATTCCCATTTTGGAAAATATTCTCTTGTAATTAAAAAGTTTGTAATTACCTGTAACACCAACGAGACCCAAAGACAAAAGACCATAAATCCATCAAAAACACACCAGCGATCTTTCACATAGGAACTATCCCCCTAAAAATAAATATCACAAGGCATAATCAGGCAAATGAATACTTTCAATAAACATCTGTGGAGGGAAGTCAAGTGTTAATTCAGAAAATCCTTCCACAATTTTATCTTATAATTGAACAGACTTTCAAAAGGAAAGGCACTGACTTAAAAAATACTTCTGGCATTTAAGGAAAATAATTTACAAAACACCAGTAACTTCAGAACTTTGTGTATAAAATTTTAAGCTGATGAAAAGGTAAAATCACAGTATTTTTTTCTCTTAGCCACACAGCTTCTACCACTTAAGCAAACCAGAAGCCACCCTACTAAATAGGTAGCTTATCTCTTGCTACAAGAATCAAGAGTAGTTGAGGTCAAGGTGAAGTCTTTAAACCTGCAGGATCAACCTCCACACATGGGATATTAACCAGGAATTCAGCCAAGTTACATGAAAAATGAAGAAGAAATTTGCCTTTATTTTCAAAGGGAAACATATTTGCCCTTATTTTCAAAGGTAAACACATTAATTTTAGTTGGGATTATATATAATGCAAAGATAAAGAAGACATGCAACCTTCATTTGTTAATAGTGAAACTTATGACATTAGAATGTATGTTATTATAAAAAATAGGCATTTTAGAAAAACTGTCCATTGGAATAGGTTAGAACTGGAAATCTGGAGAACTGGAAATAGAGAGACCTTTGCTTTATCAGGTCTACTCCATTAAGCCACTAGTCCTGCACAAAACTCAATTTTGAATTGGGTCACATTATCACCTCCAATTGAACCCTCTTAGAAAATAAAAACAGGAACAGAATGTCAAGATTTTAAATAAAATGATAGAATATGTTGCAAGATATTTAGGGGAAAAATTATTTCTGGAACCTTCCATGTTTAGTAAGAAAAACTCAAAAAGTTTCCAGAAATATTTTATGTTGTTCCCAAAACTGATGGTATGATGAGTTACTTAGTGAAAGTTATCTGATTGACTTATGAGGCAGAAACTCAACTTTGCAAACACCAGGGAGGCACCTCCGGTACAGAAGGCAATGTATACCTAGTCACACACACACACACACACACAATCTTGTGTAGAAAAACAGATAGGTACACACCCAGCTAGCATAAATGCTGGGGCTACAAGCTTGCTGGGTTCTTGATGGTGGTAGAAGAGAAAACAGGTCATGAAGCCAATATGTGGGGCCAGAAACAGGTCTTCATTATGAAGCAGCAGGAGATGCACAGGTAGCAGCAGGGGCAGTGACCAGTAGTGGTAGCACCCCTGGGCTCCAGCCACAGCAGTGGCCCTGTACTTGGCGAGTGGCCAGTGAGTATCTCCCCACAGGGGCCCTATTAGCTTTTATAGGATTCATAGGCAAAGCCGGCACAGGGCCAAGATTCAGCTTAGTTTGCCGAAATATGTGTTGGAGCATGAGAACTGTATATCAAGGTTACTTATTATTTACTGCCTTCCCCACATGAGGACAACATTCTAAGGCTACAGGTTCTCTCCTGGCACCTGTGCTGGAAGGTCACGGCCAAAAACAGTCTGATAAGCTTGGAGAAAATCCTGTTATCTCCACAGGCCCCACACAGAGTTACTTATAATAAAGTTACAGACAGATTGGGAAAGATGGGAAGAATAAGTCTATGGAGAGTTAAGAGAAAATAGAGCTAGTTTCTAAATAAATGTACAATTGATTGTATCAGTAGTAAGATAATGAACCAACCTGGTCATTCATGTATTTGAAAAGACTCACAAAAGAGATGTGTAAACAAAGATTTGGTGGCCACTTGGACACTGAGTCTACTGAATTAAGTGCTATGATCATTATTTGATTTAAACTTGATGGAGAGTAAAAGTGTATCTCAGGATGCCTGTGGTTATGAATACACATGTACCTGTAAATTAAATATAAAATAAATAGTTTAAGGATATTATGATTGTCTTCAAAAACCTCACAAAGCATCTGCTAGTAAGGCATTGTGTTGTCTTGTATAGTGCACAATTAACTGCAAATAAAAAGCAGTTACAGTCTAAATTCCATTTAGCAAATAGAAAGTCCAGTTTTCTCTAAGCCTAATTTTTGATACTCAAAAAAATAATGGCATGCAGATTATTTAAAGTTGTGCTCTGAAGTTTCCCTTTAGCTGCTTAGTATATTAGGTCAATTCCTCCATTTGTTCACTCACTCACTCACTCAATGTAGAGACTGCTCTGTCATTAATGTTCAGTAGTGCTACACCAGTGAACGAAACAAAATCTCCTGCCCTTATGTAATTTATAGTCTCAGTTGATTTAAAAAATGGAAACTATGCAGTACATTATATGTTGACAAGTGTTATAAAAAATAAGTGTATATTTTTAAATGGACTTTGATTTTTAAAATGTGTTCCTGACTTGCATGTTAGACAAAAAGAGAAAAATAGCAGTAAGTCTCTATTTGAAGAACTAAACATACCTGTGCTTATTTTAAAAATGTAAAGAATCCCCAAAATGAAAGCTAAATGTAATGGAACTCAACAGAGAACTATTTTTAAAATAGGAGAAATCAAAAGTAAATGTTAGGGAAAAATAATAGCTACAGATTGTTGGGTTCCCCCACACACAAGTAGGAGGAGTTTATATGGTATTTTCCCCCAGAGAGTAGGATCACTTTATTTCTTTTTTGTCACTAAAAAATGCCGTATGTAATTTTAATACGATAATCTCCTTTGATGCTCATGATTTTCTCTACTCATGAATTATATTCAATAAGATACAGGAGAAGAATTTTTCATTATACTGAGGATCATTCAAATTATAAAAGTGAAGATAAACAGCAGGGAATGAACAGCCAGGGCCACAGGTGGGAGAAAGACATGCTTTTCATGGTGTGGTGTAGCCAATACATGTTCTTTGATTAATGTTCCTGCATTACATTTTTGGAAGTAGACTTTCAAAATTAAATTTTTTAAAAGGTAAACATTTCAACTTTCACAAACTGTCAGTTGGCACAAATACAGTCAAATTTGATAAATATGAGCTTCACACATTTTGAATGTAAAGCTATCCCTAACAGAGCTGGCTGAATTTGTGTTTTTTGTACTATAGAACTTTGTTTGCTAAGGAAGTGGATGTTGCCAAGCTAACTTGACATGTGTTCTGAACTATGTAGAAGGATGGGTTATTTTAACTCGCTTAAAAGCTCCAGTGAAAATCTCAAATTTAAAACAAAGATGCAAACACATCCTAATTTCTAATGACTGCATATTACGAAAACTGGCTCAGCAGAGCTTCTGTTACATATATACAAAATTATTTTTGAATTAGGAATTAATTTTAGTTGCACTTGGAATGCTTCCTGCCTTGGACTTCCCAGAAATCCACAGTGGCAATTTCCCTTCACCACGACCACTGCACGCTGGGTAATATGTCATGGTCAATTAACTGGCTTCTTTTGACTTTTCTGGTAAAATAGGTGACATATTTTAATCCACTGGGCATAGTTTTACATATTACTTTCCAGCCCGTGTCTCCAGAAGATGGTCAATATTCTTCAAAAGCTTTAATTTGCAGTGTTATATAGTGACTAGAGGAAAGCAAAGACCATTAAAAGATTTTCCTACCTTTCGAAACAATTTTTTAAACCTTTTGCTCTTTAGCATTCTCTGTTCTTCAAGCTGTTCTGTCTTCCTGAAAACCCCTCCAAATCTATGCCAACTGTTTCCTGCACTTTTAACGAACCACAACCTACTCTGACCATCATCTTAGCTCATTCATAAACAACAACCAACAACTGATTGGTGAAGATAAATAATGTTTATCTGTGTAACTCGCAGAACAGTCCTTCGTAAACCCCACTCGATGGTTTGCTGATTTCCATCAGTCCCTCCAACTGATCAGAACTAATTGTGAAGTTTGAGTCGCCTACTTAAAATTTCTCTAACCCTGTCATTGGGCATTACACTGAAAAAAAAACTTTTGTTCTTGATTGTAAATGTTTGAGTTTGTGCTGAAGACTAGTAGCACGTTGAAATTTTACACTGGGGAGTTTGGGGTGGTTTCCCCAGGACCCAGCACAGAGTGTGACACACAGCAGGTATGAAATGATAACTAGGTCAGCACAGATGCTGTGTCTTAGGGAGTGTCTGCAGATTGCAATGCCTACAGTGAGAAGTGGTGCATATAATTTATGATCGCTTCTACTCATCAATCTGTTCACTGAAACTACTAGCATTGTTCCTTAAAGGAAATGATTATTTGACTCCTGGTAAAATGAGAAAAGACATAATACCTTCCAAGTTAACATTGGGAAACTAAGACTCTTTCTTTATGTGGTCATGAAAGACCTCAGATGAGATTATGAGATGACTTCTGGATATTTTCTGACTTAGTACAATCTGAGTAAGCAGAGGAGATCAGACCATACAAATAGGAAGTGGGGGGTCAGGGTTTATATAGTGTGTGCGTTACAATATAATTTTATATACAATTGAATTGAAATTGATATCACATTTATCATATTGATAATCACGAAAGCTTGTGATGCTTAAAATGGTTCGATAAATATAATAGAATCCAGCTTTGAAATATAGTCTCATTTTGAAATATAGTCTCATGTGCCACTTTGTGTTTGACATATTTATCAAATTGTCTCTTCTCCCATTTGTATTTTTGAAGGTTCTTAACCATAATTGATTACAGTCGCTATGATTCAATTTAGAGAATTTTATTGCATGAATGTTTGTGACAATATTTGCAAATAATAAACTGTCCCTTTTCTCTGCTTCCAAAATGCATAACCAGAATCAAACATACATGAATGCCTGCTTGGACTGCAGCAATGCTAGCATCTTAGCTAGGAAAGAAAGGCTTGGTTTGTCTATTGCATCATCAGGAAGAGATGCAGGGAGAAGAAGCTTGAGTTATGGGCAGAATCAACAAGCTGGGGGCTGCAGATATGAGTTATTCAAGAGCTGTCATTCAACTTTTATATAGGTAAACACTCAGAGGCTGCCAATCAATTATTCAGTCTAAGTGAGCGACTTAAATTGCCAAGCAAGTATTTAACAAGCAAAGAAACCAAACACATTAAGCTGAAGACATTTATAGGAATCTATTTTGCAGTTACAAAATGATGTGCACTGGTATGGTTTCATGGGCACATGATTTATTGTGTGGGGTTCCCAGGCCCCATCTGTCACTGTGCCTCAGCGTTATTATTTATGACTTCAATAGTGCTCCGAGGATGCACGTTATTTTTACCCAAATCTATTGCCAGATGAAAAATAGACAACAGAGAATTGTCTGAAGAATTCGGTCTGCAATCCCTGGGATGCTACAGCAGCACCAACATATATCACCCAAATGGTCCAGAGTGCCTCCAGGGATGTGGTGAGCTAGAATGCCTCTCTGAGCAGGGATTACTGGGAAAGCAATTTGAAACAGATTATGGGGAAGTGGGAATTAGTGGGCAGATACCTGCAAGTTTGGAGGATGTTATAAAAGATGTGAAATCCTTCAAACAGGCACATTCCTCCAAACAATCATTTGTAAGCCATCTCTTGCCCAGAGGACTTTCTGCTTTCAATTTCTCTTTCCTGTAGTGCATCAAGTATGTTGCCTCCACAGTGAACTTTCAAATACAAATCAGATGGTGCTGCTCTCAAGCAGAATTTTTCATTTTTGTGCCACCCCATACCTTTTACAGACCACCACTACAGTACTTTCACAAAATACTGAAGGTCTCTATCTGAAATCACACTATATAGTCACTATTTGTATCTGCAAATATATTTCCCCCCGAGTCTCTATGGAAACAGGAGAAGCACTATAATGAATCTGCTGTGTGCTGGGATTTACGTGGCCCAGGAATCCTGCAGTGGGGTTAGTGTACAATGCACACCTAGCCCTGTTGTTATTTTGGGTGAAATCTTGGGTTGGCATCAGCTACCTAGCAGTGCAGCACCAACTTCCTCTGTTCTACCTTTTTCTTCTCTTCCTTTCCTGAATGTTACCTTTCAGGGGAACCAGGGCTTGAGTCTAACAACCTGGGTCCATTTAATCATTTTCACCCATATTTAACCCAGTTTTAACCCATATTTTATGGTCTTTCTCTATGGCCCCCGCTTCCCTAATACAGTTAAACATTTCTGAACTTAGGAGGCATCTTATAATTTAGGAGGCATCTTATAACCGAGTTACAGAAACAAGCTAAGTACACAAGGACAGATGACTGCATTAAAGAGATGTCTGCATACATGCAAGGGAACACTACTCAGGTATAAGAAAAGATAAACTTGCCATTTGCGACAACATGGATGGAACTGGAGGGATGATGCTAAGTGAAATAAATCAGAGGGAGAAAGACAAATGTTGGATGGCTTCCCTCATATGTGGAATCTAGAGAAACAAAATTAAGGGTTGTCAAAACCAAAACAACAAGGGCCTCCCTGGTGGTGCAGGGGTTAAAGTCTCAGTGCTATCAAACTACCAACAGCCACTGCAGTGTGAGTTCAATCTCCAGCCAGGAGCTGACCCACATGTGGTGCAGCAGACCTCTCCTGATTCACCCGCTGCTCCCCTCAGCAGTGTATTTCAATCAATCCACCTGTTCTGCTCCCCACTCTGTCTCTGGTGAATCCTCTCACTCCCCTGAACCTGTAGCTTAAACACATGAATAAATAAATTAAATAAATTTGAAAAAAAAAAAACAAATAAATAAAAACTCTAGAAATCTGACTATTGAATTGAGACTACAAGACAGGGGGCGGAACAGAGAATAAGGTCAGGAGGGAGCCCAGTGGACTATAGGGCAGGATTGTGGGTGCCTTGGTGGTAGGTGAGGTGTGGTGACACACAGCTGAAGAGGTGTGACCTATACCTCTGAATTGCATAATGTGTTGTGAACCAATGTTAGCTCAATGTTAGCTCAATTCAAAGTAAACTTGGAAATTGTACTTGTGTTTAAGAATATAACTCTCACATTTACATTACACATACATCTTAAATATCTTAAAATGTTAGTATCTTAAATTTATATTCATACATTGTTTAATAACTTTGACAAACCACTAGATCAATAAAATTAATGGGTAATTCTAGAAAGGCTCTTTCTAGTACTTTTGTACTAGTACTGAAAATGTACTGTTTTTCAGCACTTTTGTTTTGAAAAATTAATTTTCTGGGTTTGGTTTGTTGTAGATAATTTTGTAAACTAGGCGTTATTAAATCACATTAGCTTAAGCATTGGGTATGAATTTTAGGTGTACCGTAACATTACCAAATCAGGCTAGGGATAATTTTAAAGATCGTGAATGATGGATGGGCACTATGCAATGGCTGACTTCTAGAAATACTTTATTTTGGGCTAAGATGGTGTTATGCAAGGAAAACCTCCTTCACAAAATGAAAGACCAGCATTCCCTAAATTTTGGCATATCATACATCAACTCACTTACCCTTCCACACAGAAGGCATATGACACATTGGTGTTACTTAATAGCTAAATGGACTGTTTTTTAGAAATATTTTAGTTGGAAATTTGTGCATATTAAACATCTAATATTTGAAAAGTGAAAATATACAATTGTGTTTCAGATGATGTGAAACGTACTAAGTACAACCTGATGCTTAGATCAGAACTCAATGCAGACACATATCGACAATATTCCCACATAAGCATGAAAAATATAGATCCTATAAGTGTACAAACAGCACATAATTGCAAATTGTCCTGGTCAAAGAGGGTAAAAATTGTTGATTGATTGTTGATAAATGAATCAAGGCAGAATGAAAATGCTTCATGAAAGGTTTTAGTAGACAGGTTCTTAATGTTTGTTTCTTTATTGATAGTAGAGTTATTGACAAGAGTATGGTGATTCAAATTTGAATCACACTATGTCCTCTAAAAATTATCACTCCTATGTGGGTTGAAGTATTTTATTGTGATGTAACTTATATACCTACACATGTAGGCACTTCCCACGTCACTGCACAACCAAAGAACACTTACAAGTACAAAAATGCAAAGTCAATAAAATTTAAATTAGCAACATAAATTTACTCTAGGAAATGATTTTCCTGCTAAAACTAAGTCGGATTAAAACTAAGTCGGATAAAAAACTTTGTTGTTTTTTTTTTTTTGCCCCCAGCCTTATAATTGCCAACTAAAAATTGTTTATCTGTAAAGTGCATTTCAACACTTTGATATACATATACAACTCAATAACAACAAATAACAATGTTTTTAAAAGGACAAAGGACGTGAGTAGACATTTATCAAAAGAAGACATAGAAATGCCCAACAAATATATGAAAAAGTGTTCAATTTCACTAATCATTGGAGAAATGCAAATCAAAACCACAAAGAAATAGCGTGTCACTTCTTCTAGATAACAGACAACTTCTCCAAGATGGGTCAGACCTCTGCAGAGCACAGAATGAAGTCCACACACAAACATGGACAAACCTAATATCAAAACCTGACAAAGGTTAGACAAAATTTAAAGCAAGGAATGTAATAATAAATACAATCAAATTACACATTAAAACAGAATCAAACTGTGTCATGACCCATTGAGAATTTTTCCAGGAAAATAGGATGGTCCAAAATTATGTGCTAAGGAAAAAAAAAATCATTCAATAAAATTTAAAAGTTATTCCTGATACCATTCTCAAAAATTATTTTTTCCTTAACCTGATAAAATATACACACTTCAGCTCAAATTCTTCATATTAATGAGGAAACAGTAGAGGTGTTCTTACTAAACCAGGGACAAAACAAAGATCTTCACTGTTTCTAATACTGTTTAAAATTTTGTGGGTATTAGCTGATCCAACTAAATCAATGAAAACAAGTAGAAACAAGAATTGGAAAGAAAAGATAAACCTGTCATTATTTGCATATGATATGATGACATGGCAATAGCAAAAGAGTGAATGGGAACACTACTATAAATCATATAAGAACTTAGCAAATTTAGTAAAGTAGCAGACTGTCACAGAACATCTAGAAATCAACAGCCTTGATTAAATGGAAAATTAAGAATAAACTACCAGGGTGTAAATATGAAATAAAATGTGTTTTTGAGAAAGGCTATAAAACACTCCTGTACGACACAAGAACACACCAGAAAGAAGGGAAGGCTGCCCAAAATCTGGGCTAGGAAGACCTGCACTGGCCATGAAGACCCACCAGAAAAGAGAGTCAAATACTTGCAGCTTCCATCACAAGGGGTTAATGATCCCAGCAAACCCAGAATGCCCAAAATTTGAATAAAAATATATTCAGGTTGTTAAAATATTTAACAACCTAAAAAAAATTTCAGATTGATAAACCTGAAAATGGCCTTTCTAGACATAAAATCAGACTCAACCTCACTCTCAAAAGAGAAATGCAAATTAAAATCTATTATTCCATTACCATTCCAAACTCATCAGACTGGCAGAAATCTAAGCCTGAAACCTATTTTGTGCTGACCACGTGGAAAAAGAGTCACCTGTAAACATCCCTGGTCAAGATTCACCTGAACTCCACCAAGTCAGACAGGCCATCTAGCTCCTTCCAGATGGTCCAAGGCTTTGCCCTGACACCATTTATTCAACTTTTAAATCTTCTGGTGCATCCTGCTTCCCCAAACTCTAGACTTCTGCCCTATTTAAAAGGACTTCCATCGGGATAAATTAGAGCTGCTGTGCTTAACTGATGTGCAGAGGAAGCTGTTATTAACCTGATTTAGGTGTTAAATGCGGGCTGGGTATCAGCATCCATCAAGCGCACACACTCACCCTGACAATGCCCCGAATGTGCATCTTCGCGATCATCTCGGCCGTGTAGAGGAACATCAGCAGAGTATCCAGAGTGAAGGTCACGTACTGAAGCGGAGGGTAGTGCTCGAAGGTCATGGGCGTGTTCATGCAGACGGAGATGACACTGATGATGGCGCAGATGCGCAGCAGGGAGTGCACCCACTGGAAGAGCGGCCGGAGGTTACTGTGCGCCCTGAAGCGTGTCTGAAATCGACTAGACTACTACTGGGGATAAAACCTTTCACCAGGGCGGACAAGCCGAAGGGGGAAACCCAAGTCGGCTGAGCACCACCATGGGCTAAATGTGTTCTTCTGTTTTCCGTGGTTTAATTCTGCAGACAGTCGAATGTCCACAGGTCTAGGACAGGTGAGAGACTGTTCTGCACCAAGCAGTAGTAAAACCAACGCTTGGACTTCAACCTCTATGCCTATGTCTGCAATATGGGAGATTCTGATTCCATTCAAATATGTGCTTACTTGTATTACAAACCTGATGTGCTATTGTTTCTGTACTTTTTAATATGCTCTGAGCTTCCAGAATCAGGGACCAAATTATATTTTCTGCAATTTCCCTGGTATCAATCACTATGGACAAGCCTAGAATATGACAAATGCTTATTAAAAGGAATTCTATCTTTTTTGATCACTGAGTAATAGTCCATTGTATTACTATTCCACTACTACAGGGACTTAATAACTAAGGGGAAAAACCAAATAATGTCCAAAAATTAACAACAATCTAAGAAAATTAATTAATTAAGAAAATCAAAATGAAATTTAAAATGCTTCCCATGTATAGGACTTTCTATTTGTATCTCACTTGTAATATCCTTGCATAAATATATTTTAAAACCTGAGGTCATCTTTCATTTTCTACAGATAGTAAAGGGACTTCATTTTGATTTTAGAGAACATGTTTTATCCACATTTAGCCCAGGTAGAACTTCCAGAATTATAAAATATAAGCTTCTGTGCAATTCTACAAGCACACAGTGTGTGTGAGGGTTTTTCCTTAGCCCCAATGTAACATATAAGACTTATAGTATAAATGTGTGTGTGTGTGTGTCTGGGCATACATATATCTATGGACAATAAACAATTACCCACATACAATATAATAAATCTAGCATTAAATATTGAGTCTAGTGAATTAGTATTCATCTCAAGCATAATTTAAATATGTCATTTATTGGTTATCCTGTATATATACACAGTCATGTTACTCCTTTAATGTTATACTCCTCCTGAAAAAAAGATGTTTTAGTTCATAATAGATGGACTGTTAGCTAGGCAAGCTAGCAAGCACCCAAGATGAAAAATAGAAAAAAACTGTCAGGACTTTGATTCAGACACTTGTAGGCTGGTGAGTGGGTAACAATATTAATCTGACAGCTATATTTTCCTGCAGACATAATGCCCCTAAATCCATACCATATAAGTCACTGACGATTATCTTTATTTTAAGGGCTGCTGTATTCTCCATGCAACTTGGAAGCACATCAATAAACATCAGTGTGTAAAGGGAGCCCCATCTGGACCTCCAGCACAAAGGCTCTAATTACATGAAAGAGCTTCAGAAGATGAGTTTGTCCACAACAAATCTGCTCTGAATCTAGAGAGAGAGTTCTAATTAAGCATTCATCATTTTAGTTGGCGCCTCTGAGGCGCTTCTACGATACTAGCGTCTCAGAAATTTTCAGAAGGTACCATCCGTGGTGAGCATTAAGAACCGCTGGCAGGGCTGAGTCTGTCCCATTCAGCTCTGCAGGCCCCAGGTGAGTGGGGGCTCTGAGGACCCAGAAGTGGGAAACCAGGCTGACTCACGGCAGTGTGGTACGTGCTGCCTGACACGGATGTGTACGTCCACGTGGCCCCTTCACCCAAACATAATGTGGAAGAATTAAAAGTGAGAGTGTCTGTGCATACAGCCACATCACTCACACTCAGTGCAAATACAGAAGTGGCAAGAGAAGAGGTTCATGGTTTCCTGCAGTGGGGGGTCAAATAAGGAACCTTCCAGAGTGGAGGTTTGGGGTGACACTGGAGCAGCAGTGACAGAGGAAGACTTGACTCATCAGGGGAGCTGGGCAGGGGGAATGCCCCAAGGACACAGGTGCCTGGGGCAGCAGCCATGACAAGGCTCAGGGGGAGATACAGGTGTGGAGATCCCGGAAAGGGGCACCTTTCCGCTGAGTCAGAGCGAGACTATGAGAGCCTGGGTGTCGAAGTGACACATTTCAGTTCGCAGTGTAGATAACAGGGCTGCTTCAGCGACGAAAGCAGGATGGTGGTATCATCAGAGTGAACAATGCAGGGAGAAGTCAAGCAGGATGGAGAGCAGTCTGGGGGGCAGAAGAGGGGAGGGCCACTGGAAAGCGCAGGAGACCAAGCATCACCTTAACTGAGGTCAAGGACGAGACAAGCTCTGGGCAGGAGTGGATCCTTCCCTCAAGCCAGCCGCTACTGTCTGCGGTGAGCTCCAGGCTGCTCTGGCTTGGACAGTGGACTCTGAACAGTAGCCATGAACGTGCCGTCCCACCCAGGCTGCTACACTGTCTACAAAGACCCTGGGAGCACAGAATCCATCACACCCTTACTCATCGAATGAGGCAGAGGTGGACTAGTTCTTCAGACATACTATCCACGATCTCATTAACCTCTCCTTTTATTCAACACTTGCAATTCAGGAGACTTTAAATTCCAAATACATGAGTATCCTCTTGCATTTCACGCATGCAGAGGACTGCAAGTAAGTCTGCAAGAATAAGTTTCTCATCTTAGATGCCAGCTTTGGATCACCTGAGAGGTGGCGTTCTTCTGTCTATACTGTATGACCCTGATATCAGTGCATGGAGAGGTGGGGAGGAGACCCCCCCCAGGTTGTCTTCCTACTCTAATAACTCAGAGCAGAGCCCCATTATTTCATCTGAATTATTCTCAACTTCCAGACTCCAAGAATGCTCCATCTACTGCAGCCCAAACAGATTTTTCAAAGCCAACAACACAGGATCTTTGAGTTCAATGAATTAAATTTCCTTTAGGCAGGTGTGTGCTTCTCCTACCTTCAAAGAAGAAACTTACTGGTTTGTTGATCCAGAGGATGTCTGCGCTGTCAGACAGAGACTCGTCGGGCCCGAAGTCGGTGACCGGTTGGGCCTCCACCCTGGAGCTCTGCTTCCTCTTCAGCATGCTGAAGTTAGCTCCGGTGAGCAAGCTCAAAGGCACGGTCTGGGCAGGGAGAGAGAACGGATTAGTCATGGAAGCTACCTTTACCCTCTTCTCAAAAACAGAGTCCCCCAAAATGCAATGCACTTGCAAGTCACATATGCCGCTTATGTTGCATGTAACAAACACATGCAAATAGTTTTTAAAGGATGAGATAAAAATCACTAACAATAAAGGCTTGGATTCCTTATTCTCTCAACCCTACCAGCGTAGAGACCAGTGGTCTAGAGGCGCTGGGGTGAAACAGTCTTACTGCTCAGGGTGAACATGGGAAATTAGAAATTTCTCGAGCTGCATGTTCACATACCTAGAGCTGCCTCCACTTACAAGAGATCTGGGCAGAATGGAGCTGGTCAAGCTGGAAGAAATGCTCAAATCTTCCCAGGATGTGCTTTGGGCTCACTGCACAGGACACTCAGAGACAACCCTCACTCCCAAGTTGATCTCCCATTTCATCCTTCCGTCCACAATATAAAGGAGGCTCGAGTGCACCACTGAACTCATGCTAGAGGCCAAAGTGAAGAAGGGAGCTGCTCCTCCCCAGAGCATGTCTTTTCCTTGACCTTGGTCAAAGTGATGCTTGGTCTCTTGCCCTTTCCTCTGCCACCAGACTACTCTCCACCCTGCCTGACTTCTTCCTGCATTTCTATTTCTGTTCACACCTCGCTCCTGCTTTCGTCATGAAGCATCCCTGCTATCTGCACTGATAATTGAAGTGTGTTCGTTTGACAACCAAGGTTCTTTCTAGTCTGACTCTGACTTTTCAGACAACTGGCCCTCCCTGGATCTCCACACCTGTATCTCTCCCTGAGCCTCATCAGTGAGATCCTGCCCCCCAAGAGGAAGGGAGCCAGAGAGAGGGGGGCAGGACCTCCTCTAAATAGAGTTTATTTCCTTTTGTGGATGCTGTGGTTATAGCAATTCTTCCAGTGTCTCTGAAACAAATCCAAATTACTTTGAACAGAGAGATGAGAAGCCTGCTCGCCACTTACATTTCCACAGTTGTGAGTCATCTCCTTCCTGCGGTGCACGTCACCTGCCCATGCCCACTGCTACCACCTTCCACCGTCCAACAGCCCTTGAAGAAGGGCCCGCAACATGTCAGACCCCCAGGACACACACAGCAAGCAAGTGCAATACAATGTGAGATGTGGAAGGTGCCTGATCACCCCCTGACTCCACAGAGACACTTCTCGTTTTTACTGGGTCTTAAAGAAATGAGAGATGCTAACATTTTGGGGGTATATACTATGTTTGGGACATTTAGCAGTGATATATCACTTAATTTTTACAAGAGAAAGAAGACACATCTTGTCTTTTATGAGAGCCTGAGAATTGCATTCTCTGGACAGTTAATAACTTGAAATGAAAAGGAGGCCTGGTCTGATCACAAAGCCTAAGGTTTTGACTTGGTCCCTGCAGATGCGGAGGGCTGATTAGGGGTTTCTAGAGGCAGAAGAACAGGAGCAGGGTCCTCAGAGCACACAGACGTGGAAATGCTACATCAAGAAGACACAGTCATTTCAGCACCAGGAGCTAGAATGAGAACCCCAACTAAGAATGAGGAGCACCCCTCCATGCTTGCGGGAGCACGAGATGAACATGAGTATTTGCAGTGTGTGCAAGCATGCATGGCTGCAGCTTCCACAGGGAAGGGAAATAAAACACAAGCTCAGCACAGGCTAGTTCTGAGTATGATTCCCTCTCTGATGTCTGCGCTTGGAATGTGTCGGCCCACCCGCCTATTCCCTGAAGAAATCAGGCTAATTGGCTTTAAGAGGTGCTAGGTATTTCCAGGCTGCTTTGCCCTGAATATTGGATTTGAATACGGGCTTTGCAGTAGGCCGCACTAATTAATTTTATTTTACATAATTGGAGTGAGGGACTCTTGACATCAATATGTAAATATATGCAGAATATTCAAATGATGCTCGCTCCCTGATTTACTGTGGGGGAAACACCTGGTGGCCTCAATTTGGGAAGCCTCTTGAATGACAGTCTCCTACGTATCTAAAACTGATCATCTTTTAGAAATCCTTCAAGATTACACAGCGCAAAGCAGGAAATAGAGAGGCTTCACAATGTTGTTCTAAGATTGTACCAGAAAATTTATGACCCACCAGCAAGAATACCACATCCATTGAGTCAGTGGAGACCTCTGGGTGGTCATTTATTGCTCTTAGGATCTGGCTATAAGGTACAGTCTGAAAAATTTTGAAATATAAATATGAGACTTTCACATATGAATTCCATGAACTTTTTAAAATAAATTTATAATATATGTATGTATGCAGATTTAAATTCGAATCCAAACCACTGTGGTTTTGATTATGGATTTGCTTATGTAGAGAAGTAGACACCAGAATCCCTTTTTTGTAAATCTCCATGTTGTCTAAAAACAGTACAATCATAATGAATGCCATTAGTTTTTACTCATGGTGATATTGCGACTTGTAATAATATACATTTAGTCTTAGTTCTTGTTTCTGCCATAAAGCTCCTAAAACTCTTGAAGTTTTCTCTATATAATGAGGGCATTAAGTTTCTTCTGTTACGTTCCTGGGTCCTTTGTAGCCCTCTTAAGATGGCCACTGCTCGTCAGGAGAAACAACTAGGTGATTACCAGTTTGGAATTTTCAGGTCCACACCCTGAACTCCTGGAGGGGCCAATGGTTCGTGAATTAATGGTCATGACCATGAAGCAGCCATAAAATACCCACGTCCTTGCCTGTGAACCACTCCAGCAAATTGACTCACGGCCAGTTGGTTGGAAGTACAAGGGACAGCCTGTACTGCCACAGGCATCTGGAACCCAAGGAGAAGGGCCATAGGAACCCCAATCTAAAGCCCGCTGGCCAGAAGCACTTGCATCCGAAGTAGAATGGGGTGATCTTGTAATGCAGAGCCCCTAACCTATGGAATTTGACAGTGTCACCTGAAAGAATGTCAGAATTGAGTTGTAGGACACCCAGCCAGTGTCAGAGAGAATTGCTTGCTGGTGTGGGGATCCCCAAAATACATATTGTAATTGTGATCTGGACATTTTTAATCACATTGACCCTCACTTCATCTGCTGCAAAGTCCCCAAATCAAACAGTGCCCAAGAAAACGGTTCACACTTGGAAAGAACCTGGTTAATCCACACATATATTAAAACTTAACAACTAGCTCCTGAATCATTGATGTTCTGGCTGATTTAATAACATTAAATAGTATATAAAACATTCAAATAGTAATGTAAATCCAAGTCATAAACATATGAAGAGCCCAAAATTCATTTGAGGCTGTTGATTGTAATAATCTTCCTTTATAAACAGAAAGGAAATATTGTTTGACGCATTCAATCATTCCTGTTGAATCAATATAATAGTGCGCCAAGCCTATTATTCCCCTGATAAAGCCTGGCAGCAATATTTATGTTTCCTAGGTAAGCTTATTAATTTGATAGGAAATTGCTTCTGTGTATCTTAGCCTGTTCACTGTTACACATTTTTAACCCAATATATTTATATTTTGTTTCCTGTTTACAGAAGTGTCTTTCATTAGGTGGAACACTGAATTTGAAAAACATGGCTTCCAGGAGCTTTTTGACACTTATTAAAAACAGTTGGTGTTTAAATAGCTCGACGGTGGGAGACGAGCTGCAGGGTTACTGTAGATTCATTGATAAACGTTTGCTGAGAAACAGCTAATGGCAACTCAGGAAGAGGACAGATGTTGGCTCACTGCCCTCTTTCAATGGTTCAGATCCAGTTCTGTGTTCTGGGGCAGCAACATTTTCCTTCTATTGGCATATCCATACTTTCCTCTGGCCACCCCAACCCTCTTTTGAGAAAATTAAAATTACTAGATTCTGTTTTCTTTAGCTGCCAGGTGCTTGCAATCCTGAAGCTCATCTCTCCTTCTTGTGGCTCTCTTGGATTTGCATTAAACTCTCGAATCCCCCGTCTTCTGAATTGTGCTTTGCAGCACATCCTCCACCTGCTGTGTCCCAGGTGCTTTTCTCTCTGCTTAGCCCACCACCATCTACGGGGTCCTGGCTATTACTGGGTCAGGTGTCCAGGCCACTTGGCCCTGAGATGAAGGCCACACCACCACCACATCACTTAAAGGTAGACAGGACAGATGGATATCGGTCAGACACCCTTCTGCCTGACCCTGTCCTCTCATTCCTGGCTCCTGCTGGCCTGAGCTTTTCAGCTCCCACATGGTCTGAAGGATACACAAATCCTCTTTGAGGCACTCTCTGGTCTTTCTTATTCCTCAGGCTACACAGGCCCAGGGCCCCTTTCACTTTATCCTGTCCCTGAAGGCCCTTCTAGGCCTTGGCACTACCTCGTTCTTTATATCAGAAATCAACTTCCCTACACATTGACATGGTCTCTCCCATAACACAGAAAACCTCAGCTCATCCTCTTGTTTCTGATTCAGTCTCGCAGGAATTATCCTGGCCCTACTATGGTGCAGGGCACTGCAGGAGGAGAGGGAGCGAGCAGAGGCACAAAGGCACCCCCAAGCAGACACCCTGCCTGCTTGACTTCACCCTGTCCAAGGACACTGAATCCTGCTGACTTTCACTTGCATGTCCTTGACACTCGAGCCCACAGGCACCACTGCAGTTGGCTGAACACACAGTTACCCACCGCCCTTCTGCCTTCCGCGGCGACTTCAGCTCCTTCCAGCTGTGTCTTCTTTTATCTCTGTTGCCAATCCCAGGTGGGTCCTTCCTAGTCCCAAACTTAACACATGAAGAGTCAATCTGTCTGTCCATGTGATTTGTTTATTAAAACAGAAAGATTTGCCATTGGGGAAGGGCGTGCAAGCAGGAGAAACCCAGCACTCCAGCAGACTCGCAGCAACCACTTTATTCTCAAAAGACCTCAAAGAAGACAGAAGTCACTGATGTGTTTTCAACCACTAGGGCTCTCTGCCATTGGCAACACATCAGCACCAACATGGGCCGTTCTGCTCACTTCTGCACACTGCCCGGGACCCCCAGGGTG